AATTTTATTATTATGATACCAGTTGAATAGTGATCAAATAGCATAGAAAGATAGAGCGAAAGACGCTCTATCTATTCGTAAAAAAAGAAATTTCTTTTTACCTATTTATAAGAAAAAAAAGAACCTGGCCCACTACTTTTGGATAACCCTAAGTATATATCTAAATGAAAATAAATTTATTTAGTTTTGTTTTGTTTTTCTTAAATAGAAAAAATCTAAAACAAGAAAAATAAAAGATAAAACTAAGAACTTTCATATTTAATTTAATTTAATTTGTTTCTTGATATTTCTCTTCGAATTCATTTCTTATGTCTCCAATAGAAAAATAAAGCGTTTGTTTTACTTGAATTATTCTATCTAATACAAGAAAAAAAAAATCTTCTTGTTTTTCATTTATTATAATCAATAATTTTTGTTTTATTTTTCAGTCTCATTAAAACAAATTACATTGAAAAACGATGGTTTCTACAATATTACTATTTTATAAAATATTCTATTTTTGTTTTTTTTTGTTGATAAACTTTGGACATACTCAAAAACTTAATAGACAAATATTACCTTCAAGTGATGAATTGAGAATATCTTCAAAAAATAAATTGAATTTATTTGAATTATTTAATTGTTTTAATTGTTTTATTATTTCAAATTCATTTTTGAATAAATGTAAATATAAACTTCGTGTACAGATTTTCATTACAAGACATTGTAAATCATCATTGGAATAATTAGTTTCATTTTTTTTAATAAATAAACCATTGAACTTAAACTATTTCCTAATTTTTTCTTTATGTTATATCTTTGACCAAGTAAATCAATAGAAGGATTTATATATAATGCTGTATATTGATAAAAATCACTATTCATTGTTAAAAATTTTGTAAATAATTTCCATCCATTTTCATTAAAATCTATATTTGTTATTTGTTCAGTTGTTGTCGTATTAATAGATGATATTTTACATGAATAATTAAACATTTTTATATGTTGACTTTTATAATAAGTATATAAATTTGGAAACTGATGTTTTTCTACATAATAATATGTCATATATTGAAAATTAGTTAAAAAACCATAGATCTTTTCACGATTTTGTATTTTCAATAGAGTAGTCATATATTGTAACAATTGTCCAATACATAATGTTTGATCTATAGAAAATGTTGGTGACTTTAATTCACCAAGACAAACAACAAAATCTTTTAAACATTGATTTTGATTATCTTTGTCAATATTAACATTTTTAAATATAAAAGTACAATCAATATCACAGTTATCTAAATAATTTTGGTTCGTT